ATAAGTAATTATGGTGCGTTTATTTTAGTTAATATCTAATTTAAAGGATTTGTTTTCTTTTATTATTAATAAATGAATAACATGTATAGAAATAAAAGATTTTTTTTGCGACTCCATAATAAAAATATTAAACTCTTATTTTCTACATTTCTTACACATAATATCCTCTTATTCAATAACAAAAAATATATATTACATATTTTTAAAAATATTTATAATATTTAAATTATATAAAAAATTTGTAATATTAATATTATTTCAACTCTATACAAATTTAATATATATGTATATATATCTTATGGGAACCATTTAAAATAAATTTTTAAATTGACTTGAATTATATAGCTTTTAAATAAAAGTATTATTAAAAAGAAAAATAACTAAATAATGTTTAATTTCACGGGACGGGTAATATGATGGGACGGGTTTGGGTTGATATTTATAAAAGATCGTATACCACAGGTGAAATCCTAAAATTAACAATCAAAATAATCTATCAAACAAATTACATTTTGATTTTTTTAAGAAAATATAGCCCCGCGGTGTACCGCGGGTTAAAATCTAGTGTTATAAATAAGATCAAAATGAATCCAAATCCGAATGAGCGAAACCTTAACTTAACAAGCATTCAAATTTAAAAGTTTGTATACGGGTTAATTCGGTTTTAAGTTAAACTGTTTCATTTTACCGAAAATATTATATTTGATATATTTGAAAGCAATAGAAAGTTAACAATATTATGAACATTTGAATATATAAAAATAAGATGTAACACGAGATGGATTATATTGTGGGACGAAGTTTTATAATGGCTTGGCGGGACGGGTTTGGAATCAACATTAATAAAAATTAAAAATATCATTAATTTGCCGCTTCAATACGGGATAGATTAAAATAAAAATATTATAATATTATGAACATTTGAACATATTTGAAAAATAGCATGGGACGGATTATATTGCGGGACGGGTAATATGGCGAGACGAATTTGAATTAACATTAATAAAAATTTTAAATATCACTAACTCGCCGTTTCAATATGGATTAAACTCTTATTTTATTATTTTTAACACCATGATTATTAGATATATCGAATCAGCCTGATTTAAATAGATTGTATAAAGCAAAAATTATCTCATGGTATACCACTATTTAATAATAATTGTAAACTATAAAAATATAAATTTCTTATAAAATGATAGTATTTGCAAATTTTTATATATGATACAAAATCTATAAATTTTAAATTACTATTTTTAGTTAATAAATCGTTCTGCAGTGTACCGCGGGTTAAAATCTAGTAATTTTTAATATTCTAAATATCTTTATCTGATTCGTACCACTATTATCCATAATAAAATCATGATACAAATTTTTTAAACATTTTCCACATACAGCACCTTATACACGAAGTACTTGTACATATCATCAATGGACAATCTTTTGATGTTTCAATCGAAGGAATTTGCAAAGATATATACTCTCATAGACTGCCCGGTTTCGAGACGTATATTTTGTTTTTACTAGACGTCAGAATAATATGGTTGCACATCTTTTAGCAAAAATGGTTGTAACTCAGATTATTATTCTACTGTTTCCAATCTTCTAATATGGTTGAATCAACAATTATACAAGGATATTTCTTCTCATTAATATAAACATTTTAATTTTTCGATGAAAATAAAACATATGCCAAAAAGAAACTAAAAAGAATAGAGTTATGTTTAATCTAACCTTGTAAGGACATTATGTTTTTGCATTTCTTTATAGGTTTACACTTTATACATCGAATGTACGTTTTTATTGTAATAACTAATGCTATTTGATGAACAAAATAATTGAGATTTGCTCGACCTGACACAGTTGTTAATGCTAATTAAATTAGTGGACCATGAAAACAGTGGACTGTTCCATTCAATTTATTGATTGGCGAGTCTCTATGAGTAAGAGTCTAGTTAATATGTTCAGCTCTCGATATTAGTCCCTTTTTATACTTCTCTATCATATCAAATTGAGTTAATTGGTTTGATAGCAATAGAAACCATGAAATTTAGACAAATGCATGTCATTGCGTACTAAAATTTTGAGGAACATAGAGTTTCTTTTGGGTCCAACTTACCCTTCTCTTAGAAAAATAGAAAAATGACAAATGGTTATTTGTTAGGTTCAGATTGTTTATAACTATAGCTTCTTTAATTTGTATCAAAATAAAACATGTTTAATAATATGGGAGATTGACACAAATAGCCCCAAAAAGTTATTTTTTCCAAAAATAGCACCTCATTTGTAAAGTTCCACAAATAGCACTATAAACTTCAATTAAACTTAATGAAAATATAAGATAGAAAATAAAAAAGAGAGCAAACACTAATCTAATATTAAGTTGAATCAAAATTGTTTTTAAATAGTGGAAATATATATCCTAATTTGGAAATAGGGAACCCAAATATAATACCACAAACTAATATTAAAATAAAAATCTCTTTTAAATGGTGAAAATATATACCCTAAGTTGGAAATAGGGAACCCAAATATAATACCATAAACTAATATTAAAATGAATCAAAATCTCTTTTAAATGGTAGAAATATATACCCTAAATTGGAAATAGAGAACCCAAAAATAATATTTTAAATTTATTTCTAATTTATTTTGTTGAATAGCTTTTATATAAAAGTTGTGGTATTATTGAAAAAAAAAAGCTAGTGATAAAATTTTTAGAACAAAAACACTAATAATAAGTTAACTAGTGCTATTTTTGGAAGTTTATGGAGTGTGTGCTATTATTGTCAATAAAACTTGTTTTAGGGCCATTTTTAGGAATTTCTCTAATATTTTTCCACACAAACTAAAAAATTATTTAATTTAATTTTTTTCTTTTTGTCAAAAACTGAATTGATTCAAAGAGCTTCAAGGGAAAGTTACATAGCACAAGCCAAAATTGGCCAAAAAAAATAATCAGAACGTTTAAGATGTTCAGTTAATTAACCACTGATTTGTTTGTTTTGAATTGTAGCAGCATATATATATATATATATATATATATATATATATATATATATATATATATATATATATGGTTAACTAATAATGTTCACAAGGTTTTATCTGCAATAATACAGTTAATAAAAAACGAATTCAATGCATATAGAAATTTGTTATCTGAAAAAAAAAAAAAAAAGAAAAGTAGAGCTGAAGTATTATCTGCCAAAAATGGCGCGGATCAATTTTCCCCCATATGTTGCCTATATTTAAAAAGATGATCTTACATGATTGCTAAGAAAAAAAAATGATACAGAGAGAAGATCCTTATACGAAGGTTGTATAAACTTACAATGTAATATTTAAATAGGTTCAAATGGTAGATAAAAATAGGTATCTAAAATTTAGTTTAATACTTAAGAGTCTAAGTAAAATAATGATATAAAAAGCAGGATAAAACAAAAGAGGATACGGGCTTACTGATACTATAATTAAATAAACAAGGTCTAATGTTCATTATGATTCTCATGGAGACGCAACAAGCAATAATGACAATTTTGGGAAATGATAAAAAAAAATTTTATATAGTTGATGGCTTAATTAACATAGCCAGTGACAATAATGACTCTTGGTTCTTCTTTATTAATTGTCTCATTAAGTTAATATAGATTATAATTAAGTAATATTTTTTTTTTGAATTCCCATCCAAATTCATGTGATTCTCTACCTCTTAATGTCCACCATGATCTTTGAATCAAATCAAAAAACCCTTTATTTACATTGTTGACTTCCATTGACTTTAGCGGAACTATCTTTTATATATATAATTATGAACTGAAGCATATATTCCTAAAAATTACCCTCAAACATCATCACATCCGATTAATTTACCTAAACCTCCGATCAACACCAAACTACGAATGTTTAAAGACTTTGATCTTGTAGGGGACCAACGTGTACGTATTATTTTTAATGTTTTTTGACGTCAACGTCTCTCTCTTTTCTAGATTTCAGAAAAAGAAACTAATAAGTACTAATGGTCCATTTAGCAGGGTTTTATTTAAAATAGTTGCATAAATATTTCGTAAATTTTGGTTTTAATATAAGAGAAGTTTTAAAAAAAAGTATAGGACTTAGGGAGAATCAACGTCGAAAATGTCCTTACATTTCTTTATTATTATAAAGATGTGATTAAAAAATTAAGATTGTTTGTCTACACGTATCGGGGGAACTCCTCGAGGCCAAACATTAATTTCGTGTCTTTCTTTGTGTTTCCCAATTTTAGTAAAGACTGTCCTTTTATTTTAATTTTCCTCCTCAAATTTTCTATCATTGTGACTAAAATGTAGATTCGTACTAGCAATTAGCTTTTGTTTTTGACACCGAGTGAAAAGCTGTTGATTTGACTAGTATTGTTTTATTTGCTAATCATATGCTCAGATTTGAGACATGATACTTGCGGTCGTTTTTTCTACTCTTGGAAAATTCATAACACGATGTTACTCACCGACAATAACAAACTACATATGCATTTAGTAACTAAGAAAAAAAAAAAAAAAAAAAAAAAAAAAAAGAGTATATTTCGATCACTCATATAGTAAAAAAAACTGACTAGAATATACGGGAAGAAATAAATCATACGATGCTGGTTAGAATTGGACTTGGATAATGAGTAATGACACTATTGAAGACATCACCACAACAAGTCCACAACATTGGACATTGTAGTTTACTCGAAAGCTATAAAAAAAACCCCAACAATGGATATTGTAGTTTAATGTCTTAATAAAAAGTTGTTCTTCACAAACACAAATGAGGAACTAATCAATCAACTTGAAGATAAAAAGAGGAACAATCAATCAACTTCAGATACTCACCGTTTTGCTTTTTTCCTCTACTTTTGTTTCTTGTTTTTTTTTTCTCTTAAATCATTAAAAAATTATACTACATTTTATATTCGTCATAAATGTCTTGTGTTTTGTTCTGTACACAACTAAGATGATATCGTCATACCGATATTAAAAGAAAAAAAAACGATTCGTAGACAGTTCTTCTTGTCTTTCGAGTTCAAGCTCAAACGACAACAAAATTATTATTCCAAACAACATTAATAAAAAAAAAAAAGTATGGAGTGACCAAAGTAAAAAAAAAAAACCTCAACATTTCTCTGTTTGTTCCGGCGAAAACGAAAACCGTTTCATCAAATGACGAACACACAAAACCTTAACATCTAATTTGTTTCCTCTCTGATACTTCAAAAAAAAAATGTAAAGAGTTACAGGTTTCACATTTTTTCTTTTTTGGGCTATAAATTTAACATAGTATCTTATTTCTTTCTAAATCAGGACAAAAAAGTCTGATTTTTTTTTCCCCTTTTGTGTGTGGTTTCATGGGATCTAGGGATGAAGAAACAATGGCTACCGGACAAAACAGAACAACTTTGCCAGAGAATCTGAAGAAACACCTCGCAGTTTCAGTTCGAAACATTCAATGGAGTTATGGTATCTTTTGGTCTATCTCTGCTTCTCAGTCTGGGTAAGTTTCATAATCATACTCCTTGGAAACTAGATGTTGAAGATTTTGAAAGTTATATTGATGAAATAAATTATTGATTTTAATTGGAAATTCAGATATAACTTATGGGTTCACTTCAAAACTATATTTTTTTTCTTTCTTCTTCTTCTTCTTCTTCTAAGTTCCACTAGTGAAGTTCTTCACCTCAAGACAAGGTTCTCTAGGTTTTTCTTGATTCGATTGATTTTTTTCTTTTGAGCGGACTTAAACTCATCATACAAGGTTTCTTGGTCTTCTTTAAAAGTTAAAAAAAAAAAATTCTCTTCTTCTTGAAGTTCTTGATTAGTTCAAGAAAATGTTCTGTTTGTTTTCTTGATCCGATTTGATTTTTGTTTTTGTTAAAAAATTAAAAGAGTATTAGAATGGGGAGATGGATATTATAATGGAGATATCAAAACGAGGAAGACGATTCAAGCTTCGGAGATCAAAGCTGATCAGCTTGGTCTACGGAGGAGCGAGCAACTTAGCGAGCTTTACGAGTCTCTCTCCGTCGCTGAATCTTCTTCCTCCGGCGCAGCCGCCGGATCTCAAGTAACAAGACGAGCTTCCGCCGCCGCACTTTCACCGGAAGATCTAGCCGACACCGAGTGGTACTACTTGGTTTGTATGTCTTTCGTCTTCAACATTGGTGAAGGGTAAATTCGTCTTTTCCTATTTCAGCATTGACATTTATTATGTGTCTGATCGTATTGATCTTTGCCAGTTTTAAACAAAATGACAAAATATACTTTTAATTCTAGTAGGTCCAAGGATTTCGACTTTTATGGTTCAGTTTAGGTTTGTTAGATTTCAGGGTTTGGCAGAAAAAAAAGGGTGAGCTAGAACCAATTTTTTAGTTTCAGTTTGGTTTTAAAATTTAATGTTCGGATTTGGTCGGTTTCCGATTAAATAGAAAAAATTAAAACGTCATTTAGTTTAAGATATTAATGTGTATATATATAGTTTCATTAATGTGTATGTTTAACTCTATTCTACATCTAGTAAATTTTTTATTTATTCGGTTTGGTTGCAGAAATTTGTGTTTTATTCGAGTTTAGTTAGGTTTATCATCATACAAAAAGTTTGTTCCTGTCTGGATTAATAATATAAACTTGGTTTCATTTAGGTTTTTATGCACACACATAACTTTCGACAATTATGAAATGTTAGGCAGAAAAATGTGGGAAAAGCTTAGAATGCATTGGTGCTTTCTAAATTAACCTATTTTTTTGGCAGAATGCCTGGACGGACGTTTGCGAACGGTGAACCGATATGGTTGTGCAACGCTCATACGGCGGATAGTAAAGTCTTTAGCCGTTCTCTTCTGGCAAAAGTAAGTTGGAGTATATATTAATGTAGTTGCTATATATTCAACATTTTTTTTTGCAATTGGAAACGCTAAAATCATTTGCGTTTTGTGGTGGTTTAGAGTGCTTCGGTTAAGACAGTGGTTTGCTTCCCGTTTCTTGGAGGAGTCGTTGAGATTGGTACCACCGAACATGTAAGCCAATATTTATGTTTTCTGCCTCGAATGTTTAAATTACCACGATGTAGTTTTATTAAACTGAATTATATATTAAGGCTTGTTTTGGTGTGTTTCATCTCGTAGATTACAGAAGACATGAACGTAATACAATGCGTGAAGACATCATTCCTCGAAGCCCCTGATCCTTACGCTACAATATTACCAACAAGATCCGACTATCACATGGACAACGTTCTCGATCCTCAACAGATTCTAGGCGACGAGATTTACGCGCCTATGTTCAGTTCGGAGCCTTTTCCAACAGCTTCTCCGAGCAGGACTACCAACGGTTTTGATCCGGAACATGAACAAGTAGCAGAAGATCACGATTCGTTCATGACCGAAAGAATCACTGGAGGAGCTTCTCAGGTGCAAAGCTGGCAGTTCATGGACGACGAGCTTAGTAACTGCGTTCACCAGTCGCTTAATTCCAGCGATTGCGTCTCTCAAACGTTTGTTGAAGGGGCGGCTGGACGAGTTTCTTACGGTGCAAGAAAGAGTAGGGTTCAAAGACTAGGGCAAATTCGAGAGCAGCAAAGAAATGTGAAGACGTTTTCATTTGATCCAAAAAACGACGACGTTCATTACCAAAGTGTGATCTCCACGATTTTTAAGACCAACCATCAGTTAATTCTCGGACCGCAGTTTCGAAACTGCGATAAGCAGTCAAGCTTCACGAGGTGGAAGAAATCATCTCCATCATCATCAGGAACCGCCACGGTCTCTGCACCATCACAAGGAATGTTAAAGAAAATTATTTTCGAGGTTCCGCGAGTGCACCAGAAAGAGAAGTTAATGTTGGACTCACCAGAGGCCAGAGATGAAACCGGGAACCACGCAGTTTTAGAGAAGAAACGGCGGGAGAAATTGAACGAACGGTTCATGATCTTGAGATCAATCATTCCGTCAATCAACAAGGTATATATAATCGAATCTTCAAAATTTGAAATCCATATATATTGCGAGGAAACTAATCTTAGGTTTAACATTTTCAATAGATCGACAAAGTATCGATTCTTGACGATACGATAGAGTATCTTCAAGAACTCGAGAGACGAGTTCAAGAACTGGAATCTTGCAGAGAATCAACCGATACAGAAACCCGTGGAACGATGACGATGAAGAGGAAGAAACCATGCGATGCAGGAGAAAGAACATCAGCTAATTGCACAAACAATGAAACCGGAAATGGGAAGAAAGTTTCGGTTAACAATGTTGGTGAAGCCGAGCCAGCAGATACCGGTTTTACCGGTTTAACCGATAATTTAAGGATCGGTTCGTTTGGTAATGAGGTGGTTATTGAGCTTAGATGTGCTTGGAGAGAAGGAGTATTGCTTGAGATAATGGATGTGATTAGTGATCTCAACTTGGATTCTCATTCGGTTCAATCCTCTACCGGAGACGGTTTGCTCTGCTTAACCGTCAATTGCAAGGTATACTCTCTAACCTAATTTTTGCTTAACCGGGATTTGGTTAACCTGGATTGACATGAAATGTGTTGGTTTCAGCACAAGGGGTCAAAGATAGCGACACCAGGAATGATCAAAGAGGCACTTCAAAGGGTTGCATGGATCTGTTGAAGACCACTTAGTTAAAATTGACAGGAAAGGAAAAAAAATCCCGGTTTGGTTCCTATTCTTTGGTATTCTTCTAACCGGGTTTTAGGTATTCATGTAAAATCAAAACCTTATATTTTTGTGTCTTGGTTTTTTAGTTGGTTAACGTAGGTGAAGAGGAACAAAAACTACGAGTATTTTGTTTGAGGTAGATTATTTTAAGGGTAATAGCAATAGCTAATTTAGATGATTTTGTGCTTCTAATCATTTTTTTAATATTCTTTTGTTTTTTTTAAGCACAAGATTAATGTGAAATTTTTAACAAAAAAAAAAGATTAATGTGAAATTATGAAGAAAAAAAACATGAATGTGAAATTATGAAGAAAAAAAACATGAATGTGAAAATGAAAATAGTGGTCAAAAGGCTTCACACGAAGAAGATTCTACATTTTAAAATTTTCAAGAAAATTTATGATAAGAAATCCAGATTAATTTCCTAACTGGCTCATAAATGATTTCATTGAATAACATGGTGAAAATCAACAAAAATAAATGCTGTAATATCTTATTTTTACAAATTTAGAGGTGTTGACCAAATTACTTTCTAATTTGTTTTATTTAATTTTACCTATCTAGTCATGATCTTATTATGTTTTAGTTACCAGCTCATGTTATTCTTTTTGTTGTATATCAAGGATATTTCAAACCCAACCTCAAAATAATCTTCATAAATTAATAGAAAATCCGAGCACTCTTAGCATTTAAAATATTTTTATTAACAAAAATATTAAAACCATAGTATATAAAAACTTGAATCTTATTCCCTTAAATTCTAAGGTGAATTCTAATCTATTTTACTTTATAATTTGTGTAATAATATTAAATTTAGAAAAATGGGTAAACTTGATTATCAAGAAAAAAAACTCCAATTGGAAAGTTAAAATATTATTATTTAGAAGGTAGAACCAAAATTAATGACTAAAAATATTTTTTCATTGAATAAATATACATCATATGGAAAATATTTTTTCAGACAAAAACATAACTTCTTTCCTTTTTAACTGCAAAACCGAAAACATAAATTTGAAAGATATATGTCTGTGTAGAGTATACATACAATGATACAAAAAGTGTGAGATCAGACAAGACTCAAGAGAGAGGGAGAGAGATAGAGAATAGTGAAGATGGCCTGAAAAATCTTCTCTCCGGTAAGACTTGCATTTACATGTTTTTATATATACATTTTTTGACATCTTACTCATAGATCTATATCTATATTTTTCTCTTGGATAATCTGAAAATCTCAAGCCGACCCTATGGAAAATAGTCGGATGTTTTCCCATCAATGTCTACACTTCTTAGTTCCTGAAAATGTAGTTTACAATAGTATCTCTTTTGAATTAAGTCGATCTAATCGCAATACTAGTCGGGTTTTACTAGATGCATTCTCTATTTACCTGTGTTACAAAGATGAATGTTTAAAATATAGATGATGTGTTTATAGCTTTTCATTATGTGGATTAAGTGTCTTTCTTCGTTTTAATCAGGTCTCTAAAGCTTAATAAATATGATCCGTAATCTATTTCGGTCCATCACAACAGACTTGTGTTGTTTATAATTATCCCTGTTGTGTTTTATTGCAGCTGTCTGAAAAATCTTTGAAAGAAAGCTGCAATCTGTAAGAACAGAGTGAAAAAAAAAAAAGTGAATCTTTTTAAGAATGGGAGATGAGCCAAGATTCAGTGAGAAATGGGATTTCAGAAGGAAAGAGAACGACTTTGAAGATTCTTCAAGCGATGATCCAGATTCAAACTCGACCCAGGATCCTATCATTCATAACCCAAATCTTGAGCCGAAACAGATGGATACGGGAACAAAAACTGTGACTAGAGAACAACCTGCAAAAACACGGAAGAGGAGGAGCAAGAAAGATGAGATTAAGCCTGAGAAAGTTAAGCAAGTAAGGAGAAGGAAACCGAAAACTGTTTGTGTAGAGGACAATAAGAAGAAAGAGGAAAAAACGGTAATGGGGATGGACGGTGTTGGAATGTTTATGGAGACGTTGCTTGATGATCTTACGGCTTCTAGAGAGCGTTTAATGGATTGGATGAAGACTGAACTGTGTGGAGCACCCGATGAAAATGTTGCGTCTCGTCCACCTCTGAAGAAGAGAGGGGTTGCTGCGGTAGCAACGCCGAAATCAGTGAAGAAGAGGATGACAAAGAAGAAGAAGGAAGAGGTTGAGAAGATGAAGAAGAAGGAAGAAGAGGAGAAGAAGGAGAGTGAAAAACAGAGCAAACCAGGTGAGAGTGGTCTAGAGATGTATATACCTGAAGAGAAAAGTTCAGAGATTGCTCACAACGGTCGAGATCTTGATTGTACTGCTGGACCGTTGGATAGGTTTCTAGAGAGCGGTCAAGAGATGAATACACCTAAAGAGAAAAGTCCAGAGATTGCACAAAGCGGTGGAGGTTTTGATTGTAATGGTAGACCGTTGGATAGGTTTCTTCAGAGCGGTCAAGGTGGTTTAGGCAGAAACTACTTTCAGCAACAGCAGGAGGGTCAAGGAGCGCTTGTTGCGCAAACTGAGATGGATTATTCGAAGAACGAGACTGTGAAGAGCCAGAAAAGTATTGTTTTGGCCATTCAAGCTCCAAATGTGAGTAAGAAACTAAAGAAGACAAGCGAAGCTAATACCAACAAGAACAGATCATCAATGGTGGAGAGAGCAGGACCTGAAATGCAGAAAGATCATAATTTTGTGACACCCTTTGCGTCACAACTGTCTTCATCATCATCGTTGCAGAGTTTTCCGGTACCTTCTTCGTTGTTTCCAAAAATGTCTTCACCATCGCTGTTGCAGAGTTTTCCGGAACCTCCTTCGTTGTTTGCTTCTTCAAGCCAAGTGATTACTCCATTAGCAAGTAACACCAACTTTCAAATGAGACAACCAGTAGCTCAGACTCCTGATCTTTCTGAATTTCAGACAGGAGTCACAGGAGGACAAGGATTTGAGAATTCTATGTTTCACAACAATGGTTACTTTTCTGGTTTTTCGGCAGCTTTTCAGCCTAATCTGATGGCAGGTGGTTATAATTTTCCAGCACAACTGAATTCTGCAACTTCTTCACAGCAGAGAGACGACAACAATATGTTCGGAGGTCTGATGATGGCAGGTGGAGCCATAAGATTTTCTGGTAACAGATTTCCCGAAGTTGAAGTCAGCAACTGTAATAACGGCCTCTCCGATTACAGAACTAGCTCTGGTAGATAAAGGCCTGTTCCAGAGACAACAGCAACAGTGAAATCGAAATATTTGACCGGATTTTTCTTCCAATAAAATACAAATGTCTTTATCCTCGCTAATTTTAGTGGAATCATAGATGTGTCTTTTGTAACTCACCGTTTGAATCCAAAAGGTGTTTCTGCAATTTGACATTTCCCCAAGCATGGTCATTTGCTTCTCTCTGCAGGTTACTGTATAAGGTCATGTCGCTAGAATGCAAATATCCTACACAGCCTCTGTGTAACGACCCATGTAAGTCCTTTTTATAAGATTATCAGAAATAAGAAATTCATGGTTGGGGCAGCTTCATCAAGTAATGGGATAAAGATTCATTCATTCATTTTTCTATAAGACAATGTAAGTCGCTAACTAGTTTAGTTGGATTCAATTTTACCCAACTCGTGATCACCTCGAACCAACGTTTACTACTTGCTCATTAGATCGATATTCCACGACTAGGACTTTGCCAAACCTCAAAAGACTGCTGATCCTTTCGGGTCACAAACATTCTATTTCCTCCAAACGCCAAACCGGTTATCTTGTTTTCTCCTGAATCCGCTAATTTGCCGAACGAATTCTTCCTAAAAACCCTCTCTTCCGATACATCCCGGCTTGCGTTTCCTAGCAAACCCGTGATCACTTCAGACCAAAGCTCTATCCCACTTCCTTTACTACTGCAAAACACATGATTCCCATAGCTCTCTATCTTACACCCAACTCCTCTTCTCTCATTCAAGCTTCTCTTCTTCTCTTCCCCAAGACAAACCCATGGATCCTTAGTTCCTAATCTCCTCAAATCGGCATAGGAAACTTCCCCCGAAGTCACACCGACCTTAAACACCGCCGAGAGATTATCTGAGACAGTAACATCAGAGAAACAATCTTGTGTCTCCTTAATCTCCCAAACCATATTCCTTGACCTAACATCCCAAAACCTTATGTGACCATTGACACCAGAAGGACTAGTATGAGAACCAGAAACCATCAGCAAATTACAACTCTGAATCCATCTCAACTTAGTCGATGGAATCGCAGAATCAATATTAGCACCATAGATCTCACAATGATCAATCTCAGACACAGGTAACAAGCTAGATAGATCATACACCATAATCGAATTCGAGTTCCTTCTACTAGATTCAAAGCTAGCGAATAGAAACTCAGGAGAAGAACCTATAGCTTGTACCGTTGAACTAGACCTAACTACTTTTTCCCAATTCAGAGTCGTACGAACGAATCCGCCGTTTTCGATATCAATGATTTGCAAACCTGGGAAATCGGTAGCTCCGGCAGCTAAAACTCCCGGAGAGATCTCTAGAAGAGAATCCACGGCGGAGAAATTCGTCAACACAGTCGATTTTTGCCTCAACGACCAATCAAACGAAGTGATTTTGCTACCGTGCGCCACGTGGAGACCTCCGCCGATTAACGTCGGTGAGATAGTCGACGGAGAATCTCGACCGTTTAATTGAAGAATCCTAGATCTACGGAGATCGAACGGCTCGAACTGCGACGAATTCGAGAGAGAATCGATTAAGAAAGACTCGATTCCGTAGTATCTAGATTCATCGATCAGATCTCGAACATCGAAGGCGCGTGATCTCGCAGGTAAGTTTCCGGTGCGGAGGATATAGAGAAGAACGGAGAACAAATCGGGATCTCGATCGACGAAACGAGTTGACTCAGTGACGACGAGCCGAGATAGAAGAGAATCGGTTCCGGCTAGGGTTAAGGTTTGTTTCGTTGTTTGAAAGATTCGGCCTCCGACGTTGATGGAAACAACGTTCGATTCATGAGGGATCGTCGGAAAATTCATACGAGCAAATCAGAAGACCTTCTTCGCTTTGTATTTTTTTTTTTTTTTTTGAAGATGAAAAAACAGAGAAACTTCAGAGAAGATTTTAATACGACCAAGATAATAATATTTTAACCGTTAGCTCTCTCCCTTGGTAGGATATTTGGTGCCACGTGAGCTTTTGCTTTGAAATATGAATTTCTAAAACTAAAATCACACAAAAGTTTGGTGTATGGACTACAACATAAACTTGGAATCAAATGAATCTTAGACTGCATATCTCGAGCTTTAAATCAAATGAAAGCTCCTTTATTACCCACCTGATCACAGTAATTTGATACATAGAAGACAATAATGAGTTTACCGTCATGCTCAACCTCATAGCTTTCATCTTTTACTAGATTGTTATCTACTCCTAATAAGCCAAAACCACTCTTAAAGGATCCATGGATAGAGCTATTCCAAATGCTAGCTTACATAAGGAGTGAAGAGAATCTTATTAATTAGCCTGATACTCTTTCATACTTATCATAATGACTTAGGTAATGCCGTAATGGTACTTGCTTAGGGATTCTCATTATAAATAGTACGGCTGGGCATGATTACTCGTTGCGTACTCGTTACTTGCTTTGTACACGCCTTGAAAAAATAAGTACCCGTTGTTGTCAAGACAAGTACCAAGTAAAATAATTTAGATACTTGCAAGTACAAATCAAGTAACAAGTAGTTAAAAAAAACTAATACTCGGCTTGTTTGACCCGTTACTCGTTATTCTTTTACCATTATATATATATATATATATATGTATTTTATATTATATTAGTTTTAAGAATATATTTAAATGTTACGTCAAAAGTAAAGTTAATTTAAACATGTAAAAATTTTGAAAGTGTTACTTGCAAGTAACTTGTAAATAACTTGCAAATAATTCGTAAATACTTGCAAGTAACTCGCAAGTAGAAATAATAAGGCAAGACAAGTAACTCGCAAGTCACTTAATTTTTAGCAAGTATTTGAAATTACAAGTACTAGTTTTCAACAAACTAAGCCAAGTAACAAGTATCCCTAGAAGAGTAAGTACTCGCCTTGTGCCCACCTAACAGCTCTTAAAACTCAAAATCGAATTTAATACTTTCATACTACCGCAAGCATTTTCTCTACTCTCATTTCAAAATTTTAGGACCCTTGAAACTGAAATTTATTTTTATAGAAAAATTACAATTATAAGTACAATATGAAAAAGTAAAAATACAGTAAAACTTCTATATATTAATAGTCAGATAAATTAATAATCTCTTTAAAATAATAAATTCTTCGGTCCCAAATTTGACCACTGAAAAATATGACACAATTAGATAAAATAATAAAATAATATTTGTTTCTGCAAATCTTATGTAAACATATGGTCCTAACAATATCATAAATTAATAATTATATAAACTTATCAATATATATATATATATATATATATTTATATAAGAACTAGAAATTAACCCGCGGTACACCGCGGGCCTATAATTTTACTAAATAATAAAATTAATTTTTCTTTTTCAGGTTGAGAGTCCGCGGTATACCGCTGGAAATATTAATTTTACATGTTGTGACATTGATTTTAATATTGTATATTTTTAGTAGAGAAAATTGTGTAGTGTATGAAAAAATGATAAATTGTTTACAATAAAAATCTGTCATATTAATTATGATTTAGCGGTAAAATGGAATTTTGAAATCTTGGTAATGAATGTTTTAGGGGTAAGGAAAATACTATGTTTTTAGGAAAACATATACTTAGACACGCCGCACGCGTTTGTATTAAACAGATATCAAAACAAAAAAAAAGAATTAAAATCGTAGAAACATTACATCATTAATAGAAAATAGAGAATACACAATGAAAATAAAAATTAGATTGCTCAAAAACTGAAGCATAGATGTTGAGATATCAAAACAAAAAAAAAGAATTAAAATCGTAGAAACATAACATCATTAATAGAAAATAGAGAATACACAATGAAAAATAAAAATTAGATTGCTCAAAAACTGAAGCATAGATGCTGAGAGAAGTTTGTGTGGATGAATGAAAAATGATTTGCCGAATAGCAGAGCCTATATTTATAATGTTTAGAATTAGGTTGCTTTATTAGGGTTTTAAGAAAAGCATATTCTGCAAAATATTCTATAAGTAATTAGCGTAGATATGCTATAGTTAATCGCATCAGAATATCTAAACGAAATTAATTTTAGTTTCTATCGTTAAAGATCTTAACATATTTGATTTGCGCTTTCGCGATTTTTATAATTTTGCAGTAAACCAACTTTATGACTTTCCATAGTTCAAGATCGTAGAGAATATTTGATGGTTAATCTGATAATTAGAAGATTCTATATATTTTAGCGAAATTTTTTCCCTAAATAACGAAGAAGTTACCATATACTTCGGAATTGTATTTGTTGATTTAATATTCGATTTTAAATTGAATAATTTACATAGAAGTTACCATACAAGTCCGGTAAGGTTTCTTATTTTTGCTGTCAAAAATACTCATATATCCGATTATCATTATTTCTATCAAAAATACCCAATTTATTAACTACATTTATTTTATAATAATTCAAAATAATATAAATATAACATCAAATAAAAGTGAAATGAGAATTATATAATTCTGTTTAAATTAGGTCGAGAGATTGTAAAAAATTAGCTCAAATTTGTTAATTAGCATTAACTCATCATATTTTATATATTTTTCTGTAAAAATCGTGAAGAATATATGTCATAAATAAAGAGTTTAGATATAGAAATAGTTAAAAATATAGATATTTTTAGAGTTTATAAATTAATTTCGTTTTGGATATTGCCAAAATTTAAAGAAAGATCCAATTGAATATTTTTGGTCACAAAAAAAAACCTACCCATAAAGATTAAAATTTAGGATTATAGTTATTTCAAATTTTAAACTAATTTAGATTTTATAATTTTCATAAATACGAAAATAATTTGTTCATCTATATCAGAAAATATAACTAAAACAAATTACGTAATATTATATAAAAATTTAAAATAAATAACTATTTTCATTTTATGGTGTAGACAAATTATTATTAGTATTCGTGTAATTTAGTTTCAAAAATAATTTAGAAAAATAACAACCATTAAATTTATAACCAAACAAATTATTTTCGTAAGAAATTTGTCCCCAAATTAATATTTACAAAATATTTATTTTAATCACATATTCTTTCTATATAAAAATAAGTAGTTAGATAATTATGGTTAGAAGTAGTTAAGGTAAATAACAAATATGGTTAGTTTAGAGATATCATATATATATATAACAAATAAGATTATTTACCATTAAAATAGGTAACTTATTTGTTTTGTTATACGCATATTCTCTTAAAGAAAATTAATAATTAGGTGTGGGGAGAAGTTAAGGAAATTAACAAATATGAATTAATAAAGGAATTAATTTCGTTTTAATATTGCCATACATTTTTTCAGTTTGAAATTAATAAAGGCTTCATTTATTAGTTTGAAATTAAGACAACATCCCTAAAATTGCTTATCCAAGATCCGAATAGACTAAAATCGGGTCAAACCCGGATCCAAAAGAATTAAAGCAAAAAAGTACTGTAAAAATGTATATGTAGATATTTAATGATGAAATATAAATCTAATTTTTTTTATTTTTTTTGGACAACGAAAAAAAAGGAGAAGAAAATATAAATGAAAATTGATAATGATTAATTCTGTTATGGATATATATGAAGCAAATTGCTTCACCTTACCTATTAACTCCAAATTTTGATCTTTCTGGAGTATTATTAATTTAGACGATGGTGAATCCGTCCTGGCCGGAAGAGTATGTAGGGGCCTTTCCATTGGTCATTTTTGTACTCGCCTTCATCTTAAGTTTCATCATACAAATCTGCAACGATTTATTCAAGTGTATTCAACCTCCTACGGAATCAGCTCTTGATACTCACCAAAACCCACTTCCTTCTCTGCCTCAACAAGACATTGAGTCTGGACATCTAACGCCACCTCAGTCTCAACAAGACATCAAAACCGGATATATGAGTCGGATCGAGGAAATGGAGTTTAAAGATATCATCAAAGAAGAAGGATTTGGTGATGAGATTTGTTGTTCAATTTGTCTTGAAGAGTTTGAAGATGGCCATGCCATTGTCCGTATAAACAAGTGTAGACATGTTTTTCATCGTTTTTGTATTGTTTCTTGGCTGAAACAGAAACGAACCTGCCCGAATTGTCGATGTTTTTGAGTAGGGTTTATTTTTATATGATTTAATCCCATTAGTTCTATTTGTTTCACAACTGTTTTAGTTTCCGAATTTAATTTCAGCAATATAGGGAACTATGATCTTGATTTATTTGGATGCTTTCAAATCTTACCGAAGATTTTTTTTTTTTTTTTTTGGGTAAAACTTTTAGAAAGATTGGACAAATATATAACTTTGCCAAAAACTATATCCAATGAAACATGATTTTGGTATATTATCGTTTTAGGGTGAATGTTCAAGGTTATCTTTGAGAATTAAAAACAAAAGCCATATTGCAAAGAGGAGTTTCGTAAATGTAAACATGAACCATAAATCAAATAATTTTGAAAATTTTGAAATTACCGAATCAATAACCGGTTTAAACCGGTAAGACCCACTTATTTGAAATCGAAAAGACTACCAATTCGGTTCGGTCTAATAATGTACACAAACGTCCGGTCCGATAAATCAAACAGGTGAACAGAGCACAAAGGGAGAAATAGATTTCACAGTTCAGTTATAAGCATAAATAATTCATTCATGATCATATACATAAAACAAGTCCCCTACCAAAGCTGGTTCAAGGATCTGGTTTGCCTGCAATTGCAACATCATCATCATCATCATCATCATCTTCATCATCTGAGCCGTATTCTTCTTCACTTAGTTCTTCATCGCTAGACTTATCTTCTGAACCTTCCCCTGGCTTTGCATACTTCTCACAGTATTCTGAAACCGCAAACCCAACAAAGACGAGCAAAATAACCATCAAACTTCCTCAAAATGTCCCCAAAAACCCCTAATCACAACATTATCAAGACCCTGTAAACGCCTAACGGCTAAACCTATGGTTA